ATAAAAAAGTTCAAAAGTAATTTTATGTAGAGTTTAAAAAGTTCTTTATTGTAACAGTCTACGAAAACTTCTAGCGTTGCATAATTGAAATAAGAAAGTCATTTAGTTTTATGTTCACCTATTTCGAGTGAAACTATATAGTTCAAATTAAAACAACTTATTTCCTAGAGAATAATACTCAATACACTATTAGGTCCCACGATAGCTGGTGCCCGGGCGAGAGCAGCGGAGTGGGGGCGCGGGCTGTGGGAGGTGGGAGGGCGCGCGCGGGCTAGAGGGGGGGGGTGTTATAATTCGGCAGTGAATGCAATAGAGGCCCAGGGCGTTCGATGCAGGCCTTTGTTCGTTATACCGTTAGACATAGCTGCATATATGTAGGTATATGTACTTTACAATTCCGACATCGACGCCAGCTTCGAAAGTTGTTTGCAGTAGATACGTATCTATCATTCCGTGGGGAGTTTGGATGTTTCCTGTCATATAATATTTCAGTTTCAGTTATAACCGTGAATATCCTTCTATTTTATTTATTTATTGAATTTCTTGGTTAAAGCCTTTTGGCAGCAAAATCAGAGGAGTTTTAATTCCATACTTTGTGATTAGAAAACAATAGGTATTTGCTGATCTGGATGAGATAAAAATATGGCATATTTTGACTGTCATCATTACCTGCAGTAAAAGTTTATAATGCTCAATATGTGGGCAAGACGTTGACCATTTGCCACTATTTGAAAAGTTATGAACGACCCGCCTACAATAATATCCATGCTGTGCCTTAAAATTTTTAACCAGATCATAGATATTTGCTAAACATAGCTAACAAAGTAACATCGTGTTACATCTAGAACTCCATCCAACCTTATTCTATTCAATTCTCAAAGGTTTTAACAACTTAATTTCTAACGCCATCGTGCTAATAGACGAATGTAGAGTCAAAACTGCTATAAGTACCTAACTAATCTAACTTTCCCATCGCTTCTTCCGCCGTTGCAGAGTGACCGCCGCTGCTGCGGCAGTTTGCGCAACTCGATGCAAGCCTCCCCCCCTTCCCCACCACCGCCATCGTCTACCACGCGTGCGCGCGCTCACTGCACGCCGGAATCGGGTCGCACCAAAATTCATCGAACACCATCATAAACAGACCTTCCTGCCCCCCCGCTCGCTTACCTAATCTACGCGCGACAAACGCACCAAATAGGTCTACTGCGGTTCCATTTACATCAGTCGAGTATACCTGCACGTATGCAAATGTACCGTTAGGCTGTAACGGGGCCGCGCACACCAAAATCGATACCTTATCGCCTGCAGCTGCATCTCCATAGATATAGGCGCAGTAGCCTCCGCATTGGTCACTGAGTTTCACGTTGCAGATCTGTCTCTAAGAACTAGAGTCGTGTCGATATGGTTTCGAACATTAGTAAAACTATGAAATATTATGGACTTCGAGTGCCTCGATACGCCAGAAGGAGAGGGTATTGTCTTTTGTGATACGATATTGATGTTGTAGATTTATTCATTGAAAACTATCCTTCATCTTTTCTTCAACTCTTTCATAATTATTTGGTATAACTATGGTCTATTGTGTAGCATTCACCTTTTTCTCTAGAGTATATATTTTGGAATAATAATAGGATCGGTACCGTAGACAATGGTACAAGGAAACATGGGTACTTATTCTCTCACATGCACGCGAAGTTGTTATGGTGTTCACGTAGTTATCGTTATGGTGTGTGAAACACCTCAGCAGCATTTTTCTTTTCTAAATTATCCTTCAGATTGGTCTATTATTTTTTTCTCTAACTACTATATTAACATTTTTAATTACTTAATGGCGTTTATAAAAAGAATTAAAGTTTAATAGAATTAAAGTTTTATTAAAAATAAAATTAATTTTTAATTATTTGTGACAATCCGAATGACGTTTCAGAGAAAAAAATAATAACCACAATTTCGCCGGAAAATTCTGGAAAATTCGAAGAGCAATTTTCTTTTCTTGTTATTATTAAATATAATACCTTTCTCAAATATTTGAAATGAAATGATAGTTCGGTGTAGAATAAGATTTTCTGTGCTTGGAGTTTAAACTATCAAAAATGCATATTACGTAATCTCATGATCCCCCCTCCGCTCACCGCACCCCGCTGCGCGCGTGTAATCTCTCATATGCAATATAACCGTATCGTGAAGCTATTGATTTTGAGGTCAAATTTGAATATTGGAACGAACAATTAGCTCATTTGATCGGTGATTGCACAAGTTAAGCAACTTTCGCCACGGCTGGTCATCGGATGGATGACCAGAACTTTGTTATATCTAGTTCATCCGTGTTTTTAGTCATTGGTGTTGTATCTGCAGTTCACTGCATGGTATGATATTAATACCTATTAAAAATTTTACATAAATCAAAATGATTTATGCAGTCTAGGCTGTTACATTGCACTTGTGAAACTCGAAAACGCCAATGGTTCGCTAAACTACGGCGGAAGACCTTATACTGAGAAGAACCGGCAAGAAATTCAGCAAGGGCTGCTTTTTTCTCCTTGTTTTATTACACACACGACACCACCGCAGAGATTTTTAAGAGAGTGTGATTACTTTAGGTACTTAACTTATGCAGTGAATTAAGAAAGTGTTCTAATACATCTATCAATGGCTGCAGGACACGGCACATAATACATAGGTACAATGTTAATCAGATTAGATTAAAAAATCTATCTTTTTTTCATTTATATGTTACAAATCTCGGATGCAGTTCTCCACGATATAATACCATAGGACATGATATTGTGAAAAGTATACTGTCCGGGCAGTTTCTATATCGGTTATTTGTCTTATTTTTCGTATGGCATATGCAATTGAGCTGAGTTTACTAGGTAATATAGAAATGTGCGGGTTCCGATGTATTTTAGAGTTTTGAGTCTAGTGTTATGCCCAAAAATTTTGTTGAACTAACTCTATATGTTCGTTCTTGAGTTTAATTTCAGTTGGTTCTACTTGTACATTAGGTAAAGTGAGTTTTATACATTTGGTTTTTTAGTATTCAATTGAAGATTATTAACTGTGAATCAAGACAACACTTGTGAGAGAGCATTGTTTACATCGTTAAAAAATATGCTTATTTCTGTCAATGTTAAATATAAATGAAATGTCATCTGCAAATAGCACAATCTCACATAGGTATTTATAGAAATAGGCCTAAGATAGAAAATCTAATGAATCAATATATTTGAACTTAAATAAGGTATCACATTCTGCTAATCAGCATAACGATTGCTGCCCCTGGTGAAGAATTCAGGGGTAGTATATACATATATGTTTTTCCTATTGGAATATCGAACCGTAAAAAATGTGTTTTACACTTACATTCATTTACTTCCGATAACCGAGTTTGTAACTTATACATGATGTAGTTTGCTTGACAAAAAGAATAACACTGAATGAAATTCTATTACATACACAAATATAAAAAGTCGAGTCATTTTTAAATTTAGAACAATTAATGGCTAATTTTCTAAACTTAAATAAATCCTATCGGCCTATATAAGCAAAAACCTGTCGCCCCGGTTGCTGTGCTATATGCACCGTACCCCTCTATTTTCAAGGTTCTATTTTAATTATATTTAAGCCTAAGACAATACCGGAAATCAACCGTAGTCAACTGTTTTAAAGAAATTAATAAAACTTGTATGTTTCATTCTCAAAAACTTGCTTTGAATTCAACTTGCATGTATGACCCAGATAGGATTCCAGGGAAGCTGATGAGCTAAAACATTTAATACATGCGAAAAGTGCGCTAACGTAATCAATAAAGAGCTTTCAGACAAAAATGCATAGCTGAGTTTTTTTAATTAAATAGTTTTACGTATTAAGATATGTTACACAAATAAATGTTAATAAATCACATAATAATGTACATTTCCATACACACACACATTCTTTATTTGTTTCGTTTATTGAAAAAAAAAAACAACACCTAATTTCGTAGAAAAAATACCACGGACTAGAACACCGCGTTCCAATTTGTTTTAATGATTTGGAACGCAGTGGCATTTTTGAAACAAAATAGCGTGGGAATAAAAACAGTGCCCATTCATCATAAATAAAATATTTTACTTTTGTTAATTGGAGCAACAAATTAATTGTATACATATAAAAAATTAAATGTTAAAATATAAGTGTTATATACTCTGCAGTCCCGGTTTTCATCTAACTAAACGTGAAATGCAATAAAGTATTTAAGTAGCATTTTTAGCAGATATAAGAGGACACCCAACTTTAACAAAGGTGCTGCGCAAAAACTGATGCTGTCGTATCATAGGATAAGTGAGCAAAATTGAATCGAATTACATCGAAAAACACACTAACCCGCACTGTGTAATCTGTTATTATTATCTTCTGATTGAATCAACATTTCTGAAGATTACCCCCGAACAAACAAACAAAACTGGAAACTGCATTTATTTTTAATATTAGTGTTGATATCACAGCGAAGGCGTATGTAGCATCTGCAGTCAAATACATATAATAAAAGAAAAATGATTTTAATACATCATTCATGGGCACGTGATGTTTCCCTGTTAAGTCGTGAGAAGGTGCCGGTGGTAGAAGCCATTACGCATGCATGGTGGTTACATCGATCAGCCGGAGGGTATTCACCCGACCTTGGGCCTTCCGCTGTTCACCTAACTTTTCCTTAGAATATGTTTAATACTATCGTGTGATAAGAGTACTGTAAAAATTGTTAGGTGCTTGTTTTAAGTCTTAAATTATCAAAAGTTTTACCATTTCCACTGGTGATTGAAAAACAAAGTACTTTGCTACGAAAAATATTCTTGAACATTTGAAACTTTATTCATATTCAATTCGTTTAATTTAATAACTGCTGCATTTAAATTATAAAACAGAAACACTAGAGTAAAAAACAGAGTAAATTATAAGAGAGTAAATTATAAAACAGAGACAGTGATTTACCTAGTCGTTTATTAGCTATTTAAAAATTTTGAAAACTCACACATTATGAACATTCAGTAAATATTTATGGTGATGAAAACGTTATAACGGACAGTAGTTATATTGTTGACCCATTTAAAATTAAAATCTTAACACATACACACTTTATATTTAATGCAACATCTCAAAATTGGGTGTTAATATATCAGCAATTTTTTGAGATTTGGGGATCACAGTATAAAAAAATGTGATGAAATATCGTGTAATTTTTCTCTTCTTACTAAAGCATCACTGACAGAATGTAACAATACTGATAACTACTCCAGACTGACTATCACATAGAATGACGGCATCTTCACTTCATCTATATACATTTTTAACTACCGTTTTCGGCTTTATTTCTTCAATGATGGTTTTGTTCTGTTAACAGGGCAGGCATCCGAGGCGGCCCGGGCATGGACTCCCAGCAGCAGCAGTACTGCCTGAAATGGAACAGCTTCGGCTCCAACCTGGCCACCTCCTTCGCGAACCTCTGGAATTCGGAGAGTCTCGCAGACGTCACATTATACTGTGAAGGTATGAATATAAATATATTTACAGTCGTGTAGGGCGAGAGTGTGTGATTTTATTTAAACTATTGAAAAAAGAGAACAAAATAAGAAACATGATCAGTTTGGTAAAATATTGATAAGACCCGGGGTTTCTTTATTTATTTTAAACATAGAAATGAGATTATTTAATAATTCAATTAAATATGTACCAGATGTTTCTATCAATAAAAAATTATGAATAAAAACCAGAGACGTTACATTATTGGTCATAAAGATAAGATATAGAGATCACATGAATACCAGGAAAACACTTATATAAAGTTTTTTTTGTCAGTTATTTTTAATACCATTCACAATCATGTTTGTATCAAGTGCATTAAGAATATCGTGTAAATAAAATGATTACTGGGAGTTTAACGGCACGTGTATGAGAATGACACAAATTTTCCATTCTATTTATTTACAGCGTATTTTTTTTTTCATAAACAATCTTTGACTTGAATTCGTGCGAATTGAGATTGTTAAAACATCTTCGTTTTCAGTTTATTATTGTCTAGCAGTTTTCGCGTTACTTCGCGTCATCCAAGTATGATATTGCTGACCGTAGGTGAAAGATTTTTTAAAAATCGGTTTGTTACAAACTGTAAGAATAAAACCTTACAAGAAAAAAAAAATTGCAATAGAATTCGATGAATTTAAAGATTTAGTTAGAGTAGGCGTTCACCGAGTTGAATTCGAGTTAAATTGTTATCACAATCATTGAGTATGCTCAGTAAGAAGCTTTCTGAGTTGAGAGTTTAAGTTTACTGAGTAATACCGAGTTGACCGAGACGAGAACTTTTCTCGTCGCACGTTATATGACAACCGTTTGAACCATACGTGATTTAATACACTTTAAATCTAAAAATAAATCTTTACTCTCCATTATATTAATAATCAAAACAATCATTATCATAAATCGTTTACCGTTCACTATTAAATATTTTCTAATTGTAATAAACAAATTTGGCTACGAATGTTAGAATAGATATCATACAAACATGTGTATGCATAAGCAGTCGTAGTTACGTTTGCTGTAAAAATTAGACAAGGGAATTGTGATAAATCCAACGTCAAATATATATAGGTGTGTATCAAATGTTGCTAAGAGTCGTATCATGCGTTACACGAGGGGTAAATATACGTTCACATCGACACCGTTACCTTCTCAAATTAATAATTAACGAACCGATGGCACAGGTATCGATCGAGGTAGTAATAGAACCTTAATAAGACTACATTGTTGCAGCTGTTACACTTATACCAATCGTTACTATCAGTTCGAGAGGATATTTAACTTATATGTTGAATAGAGGTTGTAATAAATAACATTACTCAATTCTTTTATTTTCAGAGCTTCGAAAATAAGTAAAATAAACAGTTAATAGGTAAAGATATAACATTTATCAAATCCATTCAAGTTAAATATATTCAACAATAGTAATTAAAGCTACTTACAATTAATGATTTATTAATATTACGGTAATATAACAGTCTGAAGTATTTCAGATTTCTATATATGTTAATATTTTAATATATTCCACTGTTTATAAATAATTCTCGTTGTAGATAATTTATAAATTTTTAAGTTAATACAAATTTTCAAATTTAAAACATTCATTAGAGTTTGGAGTCTTCATTCAATCGTCAACAAAATGGAAGTTTGTCCAAATTGGTGTTATCCTGGCATACTCAACCGATGATCGGTCAGTCCGTCTAGCATACAAAGGCATAACTAACGCAACCTTTGTTAATATGCTAGATGAATTTCCCGTCAGGTTTGCATCGATCCTTAGGAAGAAAAAACTATGTAACAAAATAAATATAGTTTTCTTAAACAATATATTTAACTTCATATTTTTCCTTGGTAATATGCAAATTGATTGTCGAAAACAAAATATCGAATGCATTCTCTCGTTGTCTCATGACAAGTACGCATTATTTCAGTGAGATTTGCGTCATTGTTTTGTTTGTGAATTACAAGTGAACGTCATTTTTCCTACAAGAAATATTCGCAATACCAAGACCTCGAAATTCATTAAGTTATTTATATAGTTACAAAATTGTTAATGTGAAAATATGTATTTTACCATAAGCCGATATGATGTTTCCTTTTTTTTGGAGAGACTTTTTTTTTTTTCATTTAAAGAAGTTATTTTTTTTAATAAGATGACAGCGAACTTCTTGTCTGAGCCCCTATATTTGAATTCTATGTCGGTGTCAAGGTGTTGTTATAAGTGAAATTCCGGATTTGATTATCAGCCGAAACGATATACGAAATAAAACTTTGTCTCGGGCCCGACTAGTAGTGATATCTTGGTTGGTTGTTATTTTATCAATAAAAGTGTTTAAAACAGAAGTTGATTTAGCAGAAAGCATTAGACAGGTGAAAATTTAAAATGCTGAGATGCAAATTTTTCACGCAAGTTGACTCTTTTTATCCGATTGCACGACGTAAAGGCGGGTAATGTGTTTATCATATTTGTTCTGTTGTGCACTCTAGAGACCATACCATAAGTGATCCATACGTCAATCGATTTGGATTAATCATTAAAAAAATAATATTACTGAAAGCAGATGCTTAATTTAGAGTTACTTAATTTAGATTGAACTCTGTGAAACTGTTTTTTATTTTTATTCTTTAAGTAATTACAATTAATATATTATACTTTGAGGGAATGTAATTGGGTACATTTCATTGATTATGTTCCAACAGTTATTCTAATACATTAGAAAATTTATAGTTTAGTTTAAAGAGTTGGTTTAATTTAAAACAGAATTAGAACTATAGAAAAATCGATAAAAATAATGTCAGCTATCTATGTTAAGTAGTGTTTCATTGAATAGATATTAAAAACATCTTTGGGAATTGATTATCATTTTTAATTTTAAATGACGTCGTAGTCACCACATTTGTTAAATTAGAAACATTACTTCACAAAATATTAAGAATGATTACACCCTTAGCAATAAGCCGAGTGCAGGCGCGGCCTTGAAGCCTGACAGAATTGATAAGGGGGTCGTTCACATCGCTGATAATTTTTGACACTACATTCGAATAATAAGCTTACTCGTGTAAGATTTGATTGTACGTTCGACGTGTACGAACGTGGTGCATAAAATGATAAAGCTTATCGTTTGGAAATTTTGTTTATACCTATTATAGCTATAAATCCGGCACGTGCAACTTTTTGTGCTATTTCATTATGCATAGGTATAATGTAATTGAAACCAGTATGCTATAATAGTTTTTGAGAGCACTGTCTTTATACAATCAAAATATATGTGTGTGTCAAGCACACATATATTTTAGTCCTCGGCGCGTGGTATACCTAGTTGTTAAAGATAGTTCATTCCCGATGTTTAGGAAAATAAAAATCTACGTCTCAGATCACAGAGTAGTCACATTTTTGTTTACGTAGATCACATTCTCGTCAGTTGCCATTGAGATCCAGAGGTCTGCTGTGTTATGGTACTTTCGGTTTCTTATATAAGTTGTAACACCAGGGTTAAAATAAGTGTCTATGTAATATGTTTTGAGTGAGTTTTATAATTAATCTACAATTAAATTTATGAAGTATAAAATATTAAAACGATATCTTTCAAAACAGACGTTAGTAATAAGAGGCGTTCTGTTCACGTGTAAGCGACCAGGAAATAATAAACTTGTCAAATAATACGCCGTAGAGATAATAAGATAAAGTGCATTCGTCATGTGTTTTTGTCCAAATAGCTAGAAGCGATAACTTTTGGTATAAACGTTGATTGGCGACACGTGTATGCACGTAACGTTTATAAAAAAAGAACAGTACATTTATTATGTAACATAGTTATTAACTTGCGTTGCTTTTATTGTTACCAGAATATATACAAAGTTAACTTACTTTGGACCTTTACACAAAAATAAAGGTACATGACAGCATCTTCCACACTAAAAATTATTGTCTCACAATAAGTATGTACTTTTATTATTGTTTGTGACATCATTATGCACATCTGTGTACATATACACAAACTATGAGTATACTTCGTAAGTAAGTATGTCTGTTATGGTTTGCAATGGATTTTTACCGTGCATTACGTAAGGTTTAGTAAACATTGTATGCAAGTATTCAAATATATATCGTGTAGAGATTAAGACATTGCAGGTTGCTAAAAATATTTCATAGGTTAATAACGGTACTAGCACGTGACCATAGTTTTATGGAAGAAAATTGTTATAGTTCATATGTTTTCAGCGCATCTGTAAACACAATAAAATATGAAATATTTTTAAAACCTCTCTGAATCTCTCTGAATCCCAACTTATTTTTGTCTAAGGCAAATTTATTTTAACTGATTGATTTATAATTTTCTTGGTTCTGTGTAAAATTGTACCAATTTTTTTTATAAATAAAAAAATATCACCTTAATGCTAACCACATTACTTACTATTTTTGTTGTATTTATTATTATCAGAAAAAAGTATTGTATAAAAGATTGTTTTAATGTAAGGAAAGACATATAATACCAATGATAGGCCACTCGTGCAATACCAGGGCAGGCAGCTAGTTTTATATAAAACTAGCTTTACGCCGGCGGCTTCGTCCGCGTGATGCCTAGGGAACTGTTGATTTGGGTATCGATACATAGCATGACACAGATATAATTACAAATTGAATAGTAAATAATGAATGATTCATAGCATAGTTTTTCATTTTTATATTTTTGGTATCTTGAACCGTTTCCGCAGCGCACGCAACGGAAGCCCTCAAGGATGAATAAGTTTCCCCGTTTTTTCCACATTTTCCATTATTTCTTCGCTCCTAATGGTTACAGCGTGATGTTATATAGGCTTAAGCCTTCCTCGATAAATGGTCTATTCAACACAAACATAATTTTTCAATTCGAACCAGTAGTTCCTGAAATTAGCGCGTTCAAACAAACAAACAAACAAACTCTTCAGCTTTATAATATTAGTATTGATTAAATGATTTTTATAGATAT